AAAGGCTGAGAAAGAGTTCTCAGCAACAGCTCAGTGTCCATAAAATGATGGCAACCACAGTCCCAGCCAACCAGACGCTAGGCACTGCTCTAAATGCCTTCCTTGACTCTACTCACTGACCCTTGGAACAGAAAGAAAGGGTACTGACTTCACAGCCTAGGAGGAAACCAAGATAACAAGAAATTAAGTAACCAGCTCAGGAGTCATGGTAATTGACCTGGAATTTGAACCAAAGTCCCAGTTTCCTTCTTCTCCTCCCACCTAGACAGGTTTTCTCTGTGTAGCCCTGGCTGTCCTGGAACTTGCTCTGTAGATCCGGCTGGCTTGGAGTTCGGACTGGCTTGGAACTCAAGAGATCAACCTGTCCCTGCCTCCTGAGTGTTGGGATTAAAGGCGTACATCACCATGTGTGACCCTCAACTCCCATTCCTTACGTTATTGGCATGGTCCTTCCAGATAAGCTACAAGATTACAGCTACTCTGAAAGAATCCACAAAGAGAGAATGCCACAACAATCTACACAAGAGTCAGGGGACACTAACATCTGCAGTAATTATAGGTAGATAAACTGGAATAAAATTACTCAAGGGATTGTCACTGCTTAATTTAAATATGCCTGAACTTCAAATGTCACCTTTTACATGGCACAGAAAAGTATCTCCTGCTCAAATATACAAGAAACATATTTTTAAATAGCTTATTCTTAATTTATGTGCATTGGTGTTTGCCTGCTTTTATGTCTGTCTGTATGAGAGTGGCAGATCCCCTGGGAGTGGAGTTACAGACAATTGTGAGGCTCCATGTGGGTGCTGGGAATTAAACTCAGGTCCTCTGGAAGAACAGGCAGTGCTGAGCAATCTCTCCAGCTCCTCAAAGAACATATTTTAAAATGAGCTTTATTTAAGGATTTATATATTACATAACTTCAGCTCAGCAAACTCTATCCAAAGTCACCCTCCTAAACAAATTTTAGAGTTTCTAGAGACAACATACTCTTAAGTTTATTCTAGCAGGGAGTGACACTGTACCCCTTTCAATGCAGCATTCCAGAGGCAGGCAGATTTCTGTGAGTTTCAGGCCAGTCAGCTCTATATCATGAGTTCCAGGCCAGCTAGAAAACAGCTGTCTATAAACAAAAACAGCCAACAAAATAAATAAATAAATAAATAAATAAATAAAACAAAACCCTCCAAACAAACAAAAAAGTTTTCACTCTAGGTGTTGGGGTACGGCTAGCAGTTGAGCCCACAGTAGTTGACACAAGGCTCTGGGTTCAATTCCAAGCAGTATCTCCTAAACAACTTTACTCTACAGTGAAGTTATAACTGCTTCACTGCTTCTGGTTCCTCAGGTTTGCTAATCTAGAGTTCACTTCCATCAGCAGCACTTAGGAGCCTCAAGCAGCACCAGCACTACCACTCCCATAGAGGAAAAACTACATGGGTTCTGTGAAGTCAGTGGAAGTAAAGGTTGAAAACACATGATTTATTCTTCTATAATGGATATTTACCTAGAATGACAGTTACAGAAATGACCCTAAAGATGAAAATTAATAAAATAGAATATCAGATTTACAGTTGCTCAGAAAGTTCTTTATATCAAGAGGGAAAAGAAATGAATACAGTTTTTTCCTATGTATCAGCAACACTCAATAAGAGACATGTTACAGGGACTCTGTCACTACTACTAAATGACATTTCACAGTACTTGATAGATTGTAAACTGAGAATATTCTGGAAAATATAAGTAATTTTCTTTCCTTACTACATCCTATTGAAGACTTTTAATCTTTAACTTGTGACAAGGTCTTACTACCCAGTCCATCCAGACTGTCTCTGAACTCAGTACCCTCCTACCCCAGTCTTCCAAACATTGTGACCACACATGTGCCCTCCCTGGCTTTCTTACCCTGTGAATCTCACTAAGCAGTTTGTCTCTACAATTTACAAGATTAAAGAAGCAAAGTCGGGAAGGGGATTACAAACATACAACACACATCTGTCTTTCATACAAAGAACACAGTGTTATGTAAACCAGGCTATTACTAAAGCTTATCAGGATTCCCGAGGACAACTTCAGAAGAATGGAAAGAACACTTAAGAACTCAAGTCTAGCTCAGGCTCCGGCTTTGCCTACTTTAGAAGTCCTCAGGACAGCCAATCACAGATTGTTTCTAGGTCCTAAGGTTTCCCTCTATTAAATTAGAAGGTGCTACTGTGCATTCAGAAGACATAACTACAATGTGAAATGCTGGCTTCAGTAAATAATAAGGATTCTTACTAACTGTAAGCAAAGGTAGGCTACTTCTAATGATTAGTCAATTATAGTTGATTAATTTTTAATATATGTGCTTTGGTGTTCTGCCAGAACAAAAACTTTCGGGTCTTCTGTACTTGGGAATTCTCAGCTGATAACACACGATGACTGAGAAGGTCAGACTTAAACTATTACATGCATAGCTATGCTCATCTTCTAGTCACTTACTTATTAACTAACGTGACTAATTTCAGGCCACTCATGGCTGGCTTTCTTGTGTTCAAAAGTAGGGCAAAAACCATCATCATAAATATGGGTAATAATACACTCAGAATAATAAAAAAACACATGATATAAATCAGCAAGTTTTGAAATACTTCAAAGTAACACATTCCACAGTTATGTATTTCTACCTCTGAGCAAAAAATGATTTCGCATGTACCATCTCACTAGACACTATGACAGTCATATGAAATACAGTGAGTCCTTTTATCAACCCAATCTAGAGCAGCTCTGAATGCTGGGTAACTTGCCAATCATTACTCAGTAAGCGCTGGAGCCCAGACTTTAATCCAGGTCGTCTGATTTAAGACTAAGTGATCTTTCCAGGTATAGCAGCCTTTAATCTCAGTACTCAAGAGGCAGAGCAAGTAGATCTCTTGTGAGGTTGAGGTTACCCAGAGCTATATAATAAGATCCTGTCTCAAAAATAAAATGAATTGGAATGATCTTCAAAATCCTAAAACGTGGTGATTTGAGCCAACATTAAGAAACTGTTGGAAAAGTAAAAAACTATAAAAACCAAACAAGCAAAAGGACCAAACAAACCAGAAATAACACAACAAACAGCAGAAAAGAAAGTACTTAGCTGGGTGTAGAGGAGTGTGCCTTTAATCCCAGCAATCAGGAAGCAGAGGCAAGAGGTTCTTTGTGAGTTACAAGCTACCCTGGTCTACTACATAGTGAGTTCCAGGCCAGCCAGAGCTACACAATAAAATCCTGTTTGAAATAAGTAAATAAAATAGGAGAAAGAAAAGAAGAAAACAATTTAGCAGTTGTGTAATCGGTAAGTAAACAAATCAGTTTTTAAATTAATGACATATCAAACTTACAATTCAAAAATGTGTCACCTCTCTTCAAAGAGAAGTATTCCCTGGGGTCTTTAATCCTAGCACTCTTTGTGAGTTCAAGGCCAGCCTTGTCTAAAGAGCAAGTTCTAGAACAGCCAGGGCTACAAAGAAACCCTGTCTCAAAAACCAAACCAAACCAAACCAAAAAAAAGGACAAGTGTAAAACAGTTCAAAGACTCAAAACTAAAAACAATATGGAAACAAACAGGCTTAAACTAGCTGTACATAAATTGGTAAACAGCATCAAACCATTTGCCAGAGCAGTTCAGATATGTGGCCATATGTATACATTCCTCTGGAATGTGTGCCTCAGGGATTTAACTGTATTGTTAAATGTATCCAAGAAGGATAAACCCCTTAAAAATGCATCTGTGTTTTAGATAACATAGGCAAATAAGTTAAAAAGAAGAAATTACCACTTTAGAATAACTTTGCATCTATTCGAATTGGTCATGTGTCTGGTACACCAGGATCTTTCTCCCAAACGTCAACAAAAAACATAACCTTGAATACAAAAATAACTGCCTATTAAATAAGCTTCTCCCCTAAAATCAGACCCAATGATAACACAATTCTCAGACAATAACAGTTGGAATATAGCTGGACCCAGCACTTGGGAGGTGGAGGCAGGTGGACCTGAGTTCAAGACAGCCTGGTCTACAGAGCAAGTTCCAGAACAGCCAGGGCTACACAGAGATATCCCATTTCAAAAACTAAAATAAAACAGTTGGAATATTAAATTCTTCATTATGCCAAGAGAAATACAGGTAAAGCTGCTCTAAATGATCAATCTTTCTACAAAATGTCTCACAAGCATCAAGAAAAAAACTGAAAGATAAGAAATGACATTGCCAATATACACATACGGCACCAATCTATGCATTATTTGATTTTTTTTTGATGGAGTATAAGAAAAGCAAAAGATGCATACGTAAAATCAACTGGAAGTCATAAGCAACCCATAGCTGCCCAACTCAAGGCCATGCACTGAAATTGTAAAGACTTTTAAGTCCCTGTCTTGCTGCAAGTACTTCCACTGCGGTGAAATGAAAATGTTGGGGATCAGGAGTTTGGAAAAATCAGCGAGCTCTCTTTTTTTATGACAGTCGGAGGAAGAGCAGGTTGGGTCCACAGCAAGAACTCTGAGAGCTAAAGCCCCCTACCTTTGACTACTCTGCACTGTCAGGACACCCGAATGCCTTCGTTTCATGGAGATATGCTTAGCGTACTGAGCTAGTGGCTGGAGAGGAGAAAGACCCCATTGAAAGGTCCTGAGAATCAGCTCGGTCATCAGCAGCGAAAATCTTCTTCATTTAACTCAAGGCTCTCGACAGCCCGGGAGTAGGGTTCTCTGTAAAAGCCAAAGACGGCTACCAAGTCTGGAACGAACGGTCGGGAGTGTCTGTTCAATGTCCCAGTAACCAACCGCGGAGAGGTGTCCCATATAGCCTGGCTACCGCCAGCTGACACAGCCAGTCAGCAGTGACCTGAGACATCTCAAGTGGAAACCAGCGTGTTCTGTGTCTGCATCACCCAAGTGCGAGCGCCACAGAAGAAGCCGAGCTGTGGAAAACCTCGGCTTGGACCCCCGACTCCCCGCTTTCGCTCACCTACCCGCTCAGACCACGGCTTCTTCGGATCTCAGGATCCTGGAAGCCGCTCACAACACCGACTCTCACACCCGCCGCTGGGCTCCAGCCAACCGGAACTCGCTCGCGTCACTTCCGGTCCGGCTCCTCTAAGGAGCCCGCCTCCAAAAGAGAAACGTTCCACCCTCCTTTTGGCAACTGGGAGGATCCTCGCGGGATTTCAGTTCGGCTTTATCAGTTCGGGCTCTGTGGGTGTGACAAGAAGAAGGATGACTGCGCTTCGTAGTTTCTGATCCGGAACTAGTTTTTCAGAAAACCCGGAAGGAGTAGGTGGCGCGCGCGAAGCGTGTTCCTTGTTCTGGAGTGGAGAACTACGAGGTGAGTGAGAAGTGCTCCAGGTAAGTCTCGACTACAGTGGAGAGGAGTATAGATAGTTCTTTCTGTCTCTACTGAAAAGTATCCTACCATCTTATCCCACAGTCTGCCTCCTTTTAGCTATTTCTTAAATTGTCTTTCACCCAGCGGCTGCTGGATGTCTCGCCTAGTCTGCAAACCTTTGGAAGAAGAAACCAAGATAGAACCCAGAATTTTAGTCTCTAGCAACGCCTCCTCTTATAGGTGGCATTGATACACTGCCCTAGCGTGAAAAAATTGAGAGCAGGCCTCACACTATAAATATTAAATATCCGTTTTCGAGTTGTTGAGCCCAGCTGGGAAAGGAAAAGAATTCTTAAGACGGATTCAAAAGTATTTTTATATATTGATATTTCGGTGCGTGCACGTTGTGCATGATAGGCAAGCGCTCTACCATGATGAAGCTGTCATTAATCCCATGGATTCGAGGTGAAGGACCACTGACTCAAATGATGGCCAAATTAATTAAAGCAGACTTTCTTTTAATTCATGTACAGGTACTGTTTCTCCCCAGAGGTAGTGTTCAAGAGATCAGCATTGGACGTGGGGAAGATAAGGGTTCTTATAGTTCAGGAATAGAGGGTTTCTAAAAGGGGGACTTGGCAGGCATACAGGCAAGTGTTACAGCAGCAGAAACATAACCATAATAAGTTGGTCGTTACAACCCCCTGAAATAAGACATGGTTGCAAGGTGGTCAATAATAGCCTTTGGAAACAAAGGCATAGTTGTTTTCAGGAAAAAGGCAGTTCAGAACCATTTGTAGTTAAGGGTACAGGTAGAGCATAGCCCAATCCTTGAGAAACAAAGTTAATCATAAACAGAAATGTATCTAGTTTGCTTTTACTACAAGATGGCTTTCAACTCTAAGATGGAGACAGGCTGGCTTACCGCCATGCCTCAGTTATTGATGTGTTTTGTTTTTTAACTTTGAATTTTGAAACAGATTCTTGCTAAGTTGTCTAGTCCAGTCTTGAACTTGGGATGCTCCTTCCTTAACCACCTCCCTCAAAGATGGAGTTAGTAAAGCTAATTTTGGAAGTAAGAAATAATTAGGACACTGTAGATAGAGATAGTGGGGATAGGCATAGAACAATAAGTACAACAATATTTGCTGACTGATGATTACCTGACACAGGAGGGGAAAGACAGGCTTTCTTAAATCAAGAACACAAAAAACATGGAATGATCAATAGCCTATGTTTGGTGAAAAAGAACTCTGTCAGAACAAGTATAAAGAATATTTGAAAGATCGGAGTGGTGAAATCTAGCAGAAACTTCGGGCTCACATTTGGAGCCAAAGCATCCTGTACAGATAGACGGTGATTTGGGAATAAATGAGATGGCTCATCTTGATGCAGGATGTAGAAGTAGGGTCCTGGTTCTTCTCGCCCCATGCTTCCAAAAATAGAACCCAGATTCAAAGTATATTTACAAATACTTTGGCCACATAGCTAGACTCTTCTCTGACTAGATCATAACTTTATTTTTTTTATAAGATTTATTTATTTATTATATATGAATACACTGTAGCTGTCTTCAGACACACCAGAAGAGGGCATCAGATCTCATTACAGATGGTTGTGAGCCACCATGTGGTTGCTGGGATTTGAACTCAGGACCTCTGGAAGTGCAGTCAGTGCTCTTAGCCACTGAGCCATCTCTCCAGCCCCCGATCATAACTTTATTATAACCCATTATTCTACTCTGCATTCTGCCACATGGCTGATTGCCTGTGCTTAGGTACCATGGGTCCAGCTTGTCACATCTTCCCAGGTGAATCTCCTGCACCTGGCTCTATTCCAGAATTCTTTCTGCCTCTGGGCTGTCCCATCTTCTATTCTATCCTTTCCTGTAGTCCATAGTTTGTGTGTGTGTGTGTTTTAATTGATAGGTAATGCATCCATACAATACACAAGATAGTCTCTCTACACAGGATAGAAAGAAAATTAGTGGGACCATCAAAAGAGGGAAGAACCCCTCACTCTGGTGTTTGTAGCCTGTCACCTGTCGGGAAACAAGAGTGCTAACAATGAGCAATCACTTAAGGCCTATTCCCAGTCGTTGTCTAGGAATCTCACTGGAAACCCTATTTAAAGGGAAAGCGCCATGACCTAAGCCCCTTGTGCATTTCTAGTGACTTTTATTGGCAGATTATAATGTCCAAAAAGAATGAGGAGAGAGTGAAAAAAAAAATGTTTCTTGGCTGCTACCCTTTAAGATGTTACTTAAGAACCCCCAAAATGAGCTATGAGGCTAATGCTAAGACAATTGTGACCCTCCCTTTAGGAACCCAGGCCCATGCTTGGGCATGTCTTGCTTTCTGAGACTTTTTCTTGAGCCCATGCTTGGTTATATCTTAGGGGAAGAAGCTCAGTTTACCTGTCTTTCTGAGTGTCTCATTTTTCTCCTAACCCCCAAGTCTGTATTTAATAAAATCCCTACTGCTTCCTGAAATTCTTTTTTATGTGTGTGTGTTGAAACCACAAATCCCAATTTTGCTTGCATTGTGGTACCTAAAACATTAAAGGAACTCCTGAGAATGACAGTGTCTCTATTTCCTCACAACTGACAGCCTGACAGACTTTATTGCCTGTTAACTTCAGCTAGAAGCAGGAAGAATTTATCTTTGTTTAGAGAGCACAGTCAGTCTTCAGAGATGGTTGGGTGGGTGGTTGGTTGGTTGGTTGGGTGGGTAGTTGGTTGGTTGGTTGGAGGAACTGGAGAAGAGCTGACAGACCAGTGCTGTCCCAGAGTGGTTCCATTCCCCACCCTTCTTTGGGGCAGTTTCTTTCTTGTAGTTCATACCTGGCCCCAAACACATGAGGCTATTACAAAGATGCATCAGTATGCAGGGCCTTATAGCTCTCTTCAGTGATGGCAGTATCCTTTCTCTCAGTTGGATAGAGTGATCATTAGCCACTTTCAAGTTGTTGAGCACTTGGATTGTGTAGCATAACCTTAGAACTGAATATTTACCCATATGTTGCTATGTGGCACTAATGGCTACCATATTGGACAGCATAGGTACAGACAGAAGGGCCAACTATTTAAGACTGTATAATACTATCCATATTTCCAGGCAAATAGCAAGTAGTTTTGCTTAGGAGACTGTAAACTGAGAGGTAAGATGAGCATTGGGTGGAAGTTGGGTTAAATAATTCAGAGGAAGGTTTAAAATTTTAAAAGTCACCAGGGAGTGGTACACAAAACGATAGAACTGTGGCAGCAATGACAGCATGTCTGGTTCTGTAGCACTTCGGGTAAAATAGTATGTTACCCATCCTGTAATAGACACTAGGTAGAAAGGTTAACGTTTCCCCACATCTGGTATGTGGAGTATTTGCTTATTTTACAACCTAGAAATTGTGAGGACTCCTAATTCTAACTGGTGGGCAGCCACCAAACATTTGTTATATTGGACTTCTCTTGGTCTTAGTTTTTCTTCCTCCATCCTTTGTTTTGGATGTTGAATGATTTACTCATTAAAATCTACAGACAGTATGTACTTTGAAAAGATTATGAAAAAGGAGCTAGGTTTCAGGATACATACCTGGAATCCCAGCTACTGGGAAGGCTGGGGCAAGAGCAGCCCAGGCAACCTAGCAAAATGCAGTCTGAAAAGAGGCAGGGATGAGGCTCAGAAAGTCCTTGCCTAACATGCAGTGGATCTCAACCTGTGAGTTGTAACCCCTTCACAGGGGTCGTATATCAAATATTCTGTGTACCAGATACTTACATTATGTTTCATAACATATAATGTAGCAAAATTACCATTAGGTAAAATGAGATAATTTTATAGTTGGGGGGGTCACTACAAAATGAGGAACTGTATTAAGAGGTTACAGCATTAGGAAGGTAGAGAACCACTGCTCTACTCTCGAGTCTACCCCTAGCATATACAGAGGGAGAGGAGAGGGTCCAAGAGATTGAGGGGGAGGGAGGGAGAGGGAGAGGGAGAGGGAGAGGGAGAGGGAGAGGGAGAGAGAGCGAGCGCTCCTAGACTTGGGGTGGATCCTTCTTGGGAAATCTGTACAGTTGTACATTTAGGGTATGATTAGGCCTAAGTACTACACAGTTCTGTTAGACACAGTCTTCTTCATTCACCTTAATAGTTATTCCAAACCTTTGTTATATTTTCATATCTGATGTTTCATTTTTCATTAAGAAAATAAGAGGCATCAATTTTTAGTTTCTGCTCCAAACACTAAAGATATATTCTGGCTAAGTTGTGTACGTTTTCTTTATACATTTCTTTATACATTTGTGTATCTCTTTCTCTCTGATTTTCCTAGCTAATCTAATAGAAAAGTCAGGCTTTTATCTACTCATTTGGATTTATTTCAGCCCTCTGAAAGGTCTATGCCTCTAACCTAGTCTAATCCAGATAACCATCATTTGATGGTTTCTCTTTTTCAGGAGCTTGGTGCATTGTCACTATCTTTCTTAGAACTCCAGCATACCAACCCTGTGTGGGCTGGTATCCCTGAAAATATTCATACTTTAAATAATCCTACATCCAGATCAGAGTCTTTGTATTATAAAATGACCTCTCATTTTGAGAACTAATATTTACATCATATAATCATATGAATAATCAAAGCACATATACCAACTCTTACACGCTTGTAATTACTAATTCACTTGTGTTTAAATAGATAGCTGAACCATCTACAGTTTCTACTATAAACTTTGTCCTGGTTTTGAACTATATAGTTCATGTGCCTACCTGATCTATAAATGAGTTTTATGGTATTTATCTGTATAGTGACTAAGACCTGTAATTGAAGAGTTGCTAGAGTATTTGTCTAGCATGCATGAAATGCTGGGCTTGATTCCCAGCATCACATGTGCCTGGGAAGTGGAGGCAGGAAGATAAGCAATTTGGTCAGCTTTGGTTTCCTGGGGAGTTCAAAGCTAGCCTGGCCTATGTTAGACCCACTTTCAAAAACCACCATAACAACAACCAAACAAAACAGCCAGTTGTGGTGAGACATGCCTGTAGCCTCAGTACCAGGAAGGCCCCAGGGCTAAGGCAAAAGAATTATAATATGAAGCCAGCCTGATTTACATAATGTCTCATAAAGAAAAAAAGCCCTGGACTTAAGCTTAACTTAAAATATTCTTCAGACCAAGTACTATATTGTACTATAATCTAGTGGAGGATTAATGTTCTATCCGATACACTTGTTTGCCAATAAATTTTAGTTGCTCCAGCAGCCTCATGCTAGGCTTGTGATCCCAGCTACTTGAGAAAGAGAGGAAGGAAGATTACAGGTTCAAAGTTAGCCTGGGCAACTTAGTGAGACCTTGCTTCAAAATAAAAGATAAAAAGAAAGCTGGACTTGATGGTAGAATACTTGCTTAGCCTAGGTGAGGTTCTGGATCAATCCTCATTGCCTCTACAAAATTTACTTCTGTAATGTTAAGCTCCTAGTTATCTGGTGGTCCCCTATGCTGGGCAGAAGCTCCTCAGCTTGCTAGAATCCCATCTTGACTCAACTGTTTGTACTTCAGTTGCCTGTTCTGGAAATAGACAAGGATATATTAGTCCACCAACATGGTAAGAGGCTAAGGCAGAAGACATACACAGAGATGTCTCACAAAAAGAATACAGAACAAAAGCACAAAGGACAAAGCAAAATAAATAAATAAATAAATAAAAACAGAATGGTATAATTTAAAAGTATGACTATCTCCAGGTACTAGTGGTGCATGCCTTTATTCCTAACTCTGGAGGCAGAGGTAGATGAATCTCTGTGAGTTCGAGGCCAGCCTGGTCTACAGCACGAGTACAAGGACAGCCAGGGCTACAAAGACAAACCTTATCTGGCAAAACTGTTTTTAAAAAATTCACATTTGATGGTGTGGATGCCATGATATGTAAATTATATCTTTTTGGTTTCTTCATTTTTGCTTTTCTGACAGGGTTTCTCAGCCTGTCCTAGAACTCCATCTGTAGACCAGGCTGGCCTCAAACTCAAAGATCAGCTTGACTGCTGGGATTAACTGTGTGTCCCTGGTGTGAATTATATTTTAAGAAATAATTTATAATGCTATACTATCCTCGAGTGAAAATCTTCAGTAATTTATAATCAATCTGTAGTAATACTTGGCATATATTAACATGTCTTTATGAATAATAAAAGGGAAACTTTTGATAAGAGTTTCCATCCATTCCACTTAGGTTGTGCATGGCTTAGTTCCCAGGGTGTTGCTTAAGCACTGTAAAAATGGTGGCTTCATGCATACATACGCTTGAACACTACACTACAGGAAGAAACTGACAACATAGAGGGATCCAAGCCAGGCTTGTTGCTCATTCCTGTAATCCTAGCATTGGAAGATTGAGGCCAGAGGACTGTGTAAGTTCAAGGCCTGTCTGGGTTGCAGGGTATGGTGGACTGTAGAGTAGAACCCTGTCAAGGGAGGGGAGGAGAGAAATGCCTGCAGGATAGTCACACTTCTAAAAACCTCAACTGAATGTAAGAATCCTACTTCAAGTACTTTTGTTCAGATATGACATGAAGTTGGCTTAGGATCTTAGATAAGTTTCTCATCCATGTTAATTTCTAATGGTGCAACTTTGCCTACAGCATCTTGACTCATGGCCTAGTGTACCTTCTGCAGGTTTACTGTGACAATGAGAACCACTGTATTATGAAGACACAGATCTGCACTGCTTTCCAGAAAGAAGCAGAATGCTACTTCTTATCGCTTTGGATACTTTAGGCATATTGTCCAAGCCATCATTTCCTTTACTCCACACGATTTAAGACTGAATAGTATAGTGAATGGGGTTTTTAACCGAAGAGATTTTGTTGTCTGTTCAAAATGAACAAAACTATTTCGTGTGAGTCTTTGAACCAACTAGTACTTGGGGATGGATGAAAACAGTGTCCATTCATAAGATCCAGAATGTATCTTGCCTTTCCTCTACATGACTTAGTTTGGTTCTAATATACTGTTTGCTACTTGTGGGTGACTTATCTGAATAGGTGAAACTTCAGTTCTAGATAATACCTTTTTTCTTTTCTCTTAAGATGCTCTCCAAGTTCTTGACTATGGAGTATTTGGTCCATCCTGGTACACTCAGCTTGGCTGCTGGAGTTGCTTGTGGCATGTGCCTGGGCTGGGGCCTCCGGAGCCACCGTGGGATGTTCCCCCAGAATTCAACAAGTGAGGCAAACAGAGACACAGAGACAGGAACCGAAGCAAGCATCTTGGGAGAGAGTGGGGAATACAAAATGATTCTTGTGGTTCGAACTGACTTAAAGATGGGGAAAGGGAAGGTCGCCGCCCAGTGTTCTCATGCTGCTGTTTCTGCCTACAAGCAGACTCAAAGGAGAAACCCTCAAGTGCTCAAAGAGTGGGAGTACTGTGGCCAGCCCAAAGTGGTGGTCAAAGCTCCAGATGAAGACACCCTCATTCAATTACTCACCCATGCAAAAACCTTGGGACTGACTGTAAGTTTAATCCAAGATGCTGGTCGTACTCAGATTGAACCAGGCTCTCGAACTGTCCTGGGAATTGGGCCAGGACCAGTAGAACTAATTGATGAGGTTACCGGCCACCTAAAACTCTACTAGATGAGTTCTTGCTTGATGGTGATTCTGTCAGAAGACGATGAGCCTGTCAGTAACAATAAATGCTTAATTCTTCTCCCCACTTTAAGATCTGTTCCCATGTTCCTCTATCATGTACTGGACTATTAGTATCTTGAGCTCAAAATACTACTGAAGGAGTAGAGAGATGCCTCAGTGATTAAGGGCACTTGGTTCCTCTTGCAAAGGATGCCCTTTCAGTTTCTAGTATCTGGATGTCAGTTTACAATCATCCAGATCCAGTTCCAGGGAATCTAACACCCTCTCAATCACCAGGCATACACAGCATACATATACATGCAGGCAAACCCTCATAAATCCAAAAAATACATAAATACAAAGTTCGTCTCAAGAATAAAAATAAAAATAATTTTCTAAATGCTGCTGCGGAGTGTTAGGGTCTGTAACAGATTGGAAGTGAGACAATGCTGATGACAACACTGGTGAGAAGGAAACTACATTTCTCATGCATAGTTAGGCCCCTCTGTGTTGACTAATCTCAAACCATGCTGTTGTCCCTTAGCTTTTTTGAGGACGTGGTTCAAGCTACTCTTTGAATGACTGATAACCTCTTTTTATTATGAACAGACCACTGCATAGACCCACTGTGCAATTTTGATCTAGATTTTAACTAGCTGGATGTTTCCCAGGTGGTCTCTGGCTATTCTTGAACTTGTGGTATTTCTCCTGCCTTGACCCTCCTACCTGCTGGGATTGAAGGAATGAGCCATCATACCCAGCTACTCTCTAAATTTAGTTCTACTTCAAAGTTGAAATTTTATGATCTATGTAGCATTTTGATGCTTATTTCTCCTGACCCACTTGGGCTAAGATACTTCACAGTGGTTCTAATTCATAAACTATGAATATTCCTGTATTTCAACAGTGAAACCACTGAGTTTGTGAACTTTATGGATTTTCAAAGTGGAAATGTGAGAATTTATGGGAAATAAAGGACTGTAGTTGTACCCAGCCAGTTTCTCCTGGAAATTTTAGGAACTAAGTAATTTTATTACTTAAGGGCACTTTTCTCACTGTATCCCTGAGCCTGGAACTCAGTATGGAACAGGCTGAACTAAACTCAGAGGTACTCCTACCTCTACCTCGCAGTGCTGGGATTAAAAACATGCACTAGCATGCCTGCATACATAAAGCTTTATGAAGATTCTAGAAGATAGACAGTGATTTCTAAGTTCATTATATCCTTCAAACTATAAATGATGTGAAGGAGAGTAAGACCGTAAGTGGGAACTAGGCAGAAGGATGAAGACAACTGTAGGCTGTCTCCAAGTTAAAACGTTTGGTGCATTTTTATCATACAGAAGCATAAATGGTACAGAAGGAATCACAACTCTGAATGATGCCACAGTAGCAACAGTTTCTAGACAGAATGTTTATACAGGAGTCAAGTGATGCAACCACATGTAACTGAGGTGAACTCAATCTTAAATGCATGGTTATGACTCAGGTAATTTATGAGGCTTGCTGCAGACAAATGGTTCCACACTAAAAGACTAGATTCCCAGCAGGATAGCTATGGTGGCTGATTCAAGGACCTGTAATAAGCTAGAGCTTACTTACAAGGACACAGTAAAACTTGTTAATTCTGGTGACAAGTCATGGTATTTTTCTGGTTCACCTGTTCTTGGTATATACTTCATAGGGGTTACAGAGTAGTTCTCAAAGCATACTCTGCAGAGCCCAATCTGTTTTCTCTAGCTTGAATGAAAGGCATTTTCTTTTCTCTAGTGTGTTCCTACGGATGATCTATATGAACAAGCAACCATCATATCCGTCTCAGCCTCACATTCACAGTAAAGTTTCACTTGTCCTGATGAAACAGTTAAAAAGATCAGTATTTCCCCCACCCCCGGCATAGATAGGGGAGGGGCTTTGGGAACTGAAAGCTGGGACGTAGAAGTCTTTTTCAGGGAAGTCCTCCTTGGTAGGTGGTCCGTGGTCCTGTAAGTGGCTCCTCATGCTTTCACACAATGTCAGCATTGATTGAACGCAGTGTATTGTTAGGAGAAACATTATCCCGAGAGGGAGATGAGTGAGAGGTGGGCTGCCAGCCTCATAGTACATTATATACTAGTATGAAATTCTCAGCAAATAAAAAGTGATTAAAAACATTTTTACTCATGACTTATATGTGTTCATGTCTTTGTCTAAAAGGCTGGTGTCTAGTTTGTGAGCTAGTTAATTTCATAGGACATTTTTACCTTATAAGAACTGAAAAGGCTGGAGAGGTGGCTCTGCAGTTAAAATCTTACAGGAAATCCGTATTTGGTGTCTGACGCATGACTACCTGTTTTAGAGGATCCAACAGGATCTACAGTTGTCTTCCAACAGGCCTCCACAGGCATCAAGACTCACATTAACATACCTACATAAGTATGTTAACACATGTGTAATTAAAACTAAAGCTTAAGCAAATGAAATTAAGGATATTGAGTTGGCTGAGTGGGTAAACGCTGACGACCTGAGTTTGATCTCTGGAACCCACAAAGTGGAAGCTGTCACACGAGTCCACATAGACAAAAAATACACACTGAAAAACTAACCCGGAAACAAACAAGGTGTGAGTCATTCCCTCGGATTTCTAGAAGTTCCAGGTCTATAGTGAGATTCCTGTTTCCAGAACAAGACAAAAGGGATATAACTGCTCCAAACCTTAGTGTTTGGTAGATATTTCCTCAAATACTCAATGTATCAGCCACTTTAAGGAAAACAAGTGGAAGAAGTTCGGAGAACTTTTCAGTCTCTTCTCCAGCCTTCCCCAAACATCAGTGTTTAAGGGCTGTAGCACTTGCCATGCGCAAGGTGCTGGAACCGGATCATAATACCAGAGAAACTCAACAATCTTTGTAGTGCTGGGTACCCAGCTTCATGCCTCACATGAGCCTTTGTTCCATAGAGCAAAAACATGTTTTCTGTATCAATATACAAAGCTTTTCTTGTGTTTTTTTTTTTTTCTCCCCTTTTGGTTTTTTTCTACTGTCAGTGACAGAAATGACTAAATGCCTCTTCAGTAGTCTGGTGATCGAGGCTCAGAGTGAGGTCATGGCTGCACTAGAGAAATACCACAAAGTGGTACTTGTTGCACTAATATGGCTGTAATAGTTGTTAACCATAGATCTGTTCATATACTTTTATATATCATAGCTTGTCACATGAATTTTCCATTTATCCTCCCCAACCCCCGTTTCCCCTTGGATCAAGCAACATTTATGCTATTTAGTACAGTTGTTTTCAATTTCCTAGTCTAGAACCTACCCCAGTGATAAACTCAAGAGTAATAATTACCAACTCACCATCCACTTTTGGTGGATTATGGTGACGATAGTCCAATCCTTAGCTAGGTATTTTGTGATTTAAAGATAAACTGACTGGTGGTACATACTTATAATTCCCTCATGCAGGAGGCTGAGGGGGAAAAAACGATCTCAAGTTCAAGGAAGGCCAGCCTGGATTGTACAGAGACCCTGAATTAAAAAAAAAAAAAAAAAACCAATAGACTGGAGAGAATGGATCCTCAGGGACAAATATGCAAACACATGAATATAAAACACCCATACAAGTAAAATCTGTCTAGTAATTCTCAAGAGTACTTGGTATACAGAGAAGAAACAAATCAGCAGCCTGCTGACTTGTCCAATATGGATGGTTTAAGTGGCAACCTGGCATCGCAGGACAACAGTACATGATGAATTTTTGTTGGGGAAAATCTTCAAGGAAACAATAAGAAAGTAGAGTAGGACTGGAAAAACAGATCAGTGTTTGAGAGCACTGACTGCTCTTCCAGAGGACTAGGTTCAATTCCTAGTACCCACAGGGTAACTTAACTCCCATGCCAGGGGATTTGAGCCCCTCCTCTGGCTTCTGAGGGCATTGTATGCCCATAGTACACAGACATATACACATAGGCAAAATATCCATACCTATAAAATGATACATACGATATTTCAAGTTGCTTCTACTAAGGGTGGGAAAAGCATCCTTCATGAGTATAGGAAAAGTCAAAACTGAACTGACTGATATAGTGCCTGATTCCTTATGACGAGAGTAGGTAGAGATCTGGGGACACAGTGCAGCTTTGGCCTGAGGCCACGTTTTCACTCTAACAAATGAAAACTGACTTAAACAGTAATACTAATTTGCTAGGGGTGTGTATGTGAAGCTTATGGTAATTTGCCTGAGAATTGTAGAGCAATATAAACTAGGCAGTACACTGTAACTATAGAGAAGTCATAATGAAGTAAATTCAATATTCGCAGCCATGGCAAAAATTTAAATTTGGAGCACTTTAAGTTGAAAATAAATACCATGCTAACTGTTTTTAAAAATATACCTTTATTTGAAGTCAATATAACACCTATAATTTATTTAGTTAGGTGAAATGCTTAAAACCCTGGAGTGCTACTTGGTTAAAATGTTGGAAACGTGAGAAGGAGCCCATTGGTCAGTGACTGCTGCATAATCTTTCTTAACTACAGGAATGCAAATGACACAATACATATCTTTTTTCATAATTTCCCTCTATTCCTCCCTGTAATGCTCCAGCAGTATCCAGTATGAAACTATGGAAACCACGATTCTTCTGGTTTGAGATGTATTTAATTAAAACTGCAATTCTACATGTTATTTCCACAGTCCAGTAATTTATTTTAAATTGGAGTAATTTCAAATTCCACAAACAAAACTGAAGAACAGCAGTATCTTGTTTGAATTCTCTCTTCTGTACACTCAGTGATCTAAAACACCACAATATCCAACATACACAAACCTCAGGGAAGGGTTAGTAAATACACACGTGTGGAATCATGGTGCTCTTTGTTCCTGAATGGAATGGTCCCACAGAAAAAGCACAGGATACAGCACAACATGAGGGCACCTGTTACACATGAAGTGAGCAACACACACTAGCATTTTTCTATATGCATAATGGGGAAACCTGCATAGGTGAAAGGGCCTTTTATACTCATTAAAAACAAACAAAAAATCAGGCAAGTTGTCTGTATGCATTTTTCAAATAATTTGGAGAGCGCTGTGATCCAATGTAGGATATGCTGATTAGTGTTGTCTTTGTTGGCATTGACAGTCTTGCATGGTCACACACCAGTATTTTCACGTTAGCTTTTCTTTGAATAAAAGAGATTTAAATGCATTTAGACAATACATAGTGAAAGCTGTTTACATACACTAAATTTAAGAGATTCAATATTAGAGTTTCTTTGTTTCTTTAAACACTACAGAGTGCAAATCAGGTTCTTCACAACAGATTGAATAGTAAGCAGTTCTTCAAAGAATGAGGGGGAGAAAAAAGCCCACATGAATACTATTCCCCTTTGAAAAGAAAGTCTAATGATGCGGAATGTGAAAATAAAGTTTTAACATAGGCGATCCAAGTCTATAGTTAGAACAAAAAAGTAGTCCTTCATGAAGTAAAGGTTACAAGAACACGTTGCCTGTTTCCCCGTCTATGAACTGAGAAGTGGGTAGACGATGCTTCAGTATGAAAATAGGAGACTACGGATCAGCTTCCATCTCACATGCTGTACCCAAAGCCAGGCTGTGGCTGCCCATATGGTGGTGCAGTATAACCATAACCAAAAGGTGCCTGGGGAGGGACTGCCACACTGGGTCCTGCCGTTAGCATCAGCTGGGGCTGACCTAAGGTGACAAAGAGGAGGAGAATCTGTTAGCAGCAGGGTCAACACTATCTTCTTCCCCATTCCAGCAGCGCACTCACAATTCACTGAGGAAGTTGTGTGTGGGCACTTGTGACTGTCCCAATTTGGAATACAGTCTCGCCCTGAGAAGGTTCCTGCCTTAAAAAAGCCAACGGAGCAGGGCTGAGGGCCACAACATCCTATATGTAAAGCAGTAACACATGCACATTTGACATTATCAGGCCATACATCTGCCAACAAGCCTATCACATAATACACATTACATTTAGTGACTAAAATTTTAGCACAGGAAAACTTTACAAGTTGTTAAAGTTAATTTAAATATCTGATTCTAAACATCTGAATGGTAATGAAACCTTATATGGTTCTAGCAAAAAATCCAGCGCTAATTTAGAGACAGCAATAGAAAAACCACATTCAAATATGCACTAGATAGGCAATGCATTAGGTATGAAAAACACGAGAACGTATATACCTTCTATCAAATACTTGCTGATGAAGCTGAAATAGTTGCTGACCACATAAAGAAAACATGACATGTAAAGAACTTTTAGAGAGAGAAACACAATACTTCCCTAGTCCTGTATATCCTCTCCCGCTAGAATGGAAGCTACCACACTCCCTGTGTTCCCTGTGTCCCCTTGTAGTACAACCACAATTTTATTTAGTAAGCAAGTATGGAAACTGGGTTTACCAAAGAATCACCTCTGGATCATTGAAAATTCTACCTCTACTCTATTTCAACTCCCTACTTAAAACTCCATGAAAGCTTAGCACTCTATGGATACCTAGTGAAAAACCGCAGCTATCTTTTTTCCCTATTTCAAATATGTCAAATCTCATGTAATTTAGGTCTACCTAGTCCTTTATCAAAACTACCCTGTCCTCTAAATTTCCCCAAACAGTTTATCTCCAATAATAATAATAAAGACTCATATACTGTCATTTTCCTTAGTTGCCTGTGACAAAAATGATCCTAATTTTATACTTCCTTCCAAAGAAAACCTGATTATAAAACTTTTAATCATACTCCTGAAAATCCAATATTCACCAAGTGTGAGGTGCAAAGGGTAAGTAACCCACACAGGCTAGTATAAGAAATCAAACTGCTTTAAAGAATTACTTTAGGGTTTGGACACTATCTCTCTGGAAAGTTCTGGAATGGAAACTTAACCCCCATTCTCTATCCTAGTTACATTTCAAGTTAGGATACATTCTTAATGCAAAGCATACTGAAGATAACCTTGTTATATTGGTTCTTCCAAAAGTGAATTCTTTCTTAATGACTTAGGAATGAATAGATCAGGCAACAAGAAAGCCTAGGCCATCTCTAATGACCATTTTTGAGAGATTCTATGCATGGAAGTTTATCAGAGTGGATACTATAAAAATGAGTTTTAAATGGTCCTCAGGAGAAAATGTGAATAGCTGGGAGAACTATTCCTTAACTCAGCAAATGTTCTGCCCCTTTCAAAGCTTGCTCCATGTAAGAAGGGTCTAATGTAGCCCTTTGAACTTAAAAACAGATAGATTACCATAAACAATGGGCTGTGTCTCTGTAGCTTGTTCTTCTTCTTTTCTCAGTGACTCCGAAGCATCTAATTTATCCACCTAGAGAAAAACAAGTCACGTTAGAACCTCAAAAGCATTACAAACTTAGGTTTATGGCAGAGAGTGGAAAAGCCTTAGTATGTTAAATTCCGTCAAAATAAAACAGACTGGCAAGAACATTCTCAGGCCCCTCAAATTCAATGGCAGTATTCATACTTCAGTCAAGGTGTTTCTCTTATAAACCCTCATGAAGGAGGGATTTATAAATGCCATAACAGCTCACGCCAGGCTAAGACTGGACATGCTAGGATGCAGCCTGAGCAAGGGAGGAAGTGAAAAGGAACCACTTTTCAAATGAAGTATACACACTATCAGGGGTAATAAGAAACTCATGAACCTTCAAGACTTCCTTCCCCAGGAGAGTAGGTTTACAAAAAGGTGAAATGAGTCTAATGGCTAGATAAGTATTTCAGTAGAATAAGCTGTTTTGCCAACTATACAGAGCTCCTGCTGAGGCTCACATTTTACAGACTGAGACTTACGTCTCAAGCAGCTCCATATTCAATCTTACTGTATAACATCGTTTGCCTTAGTTGCCTGAGACAAAATGCAAATACTAATGTATATGGTTCTAAGAAGTAACTAGGATTGCCTGAGTTGGCCCCAACTTTGAGAGGAAAGCTTTTACTTTTAATGAAGCCAAAAAAATAAATGGCAATTATATACTAGCTAATCAAGGTGGGCAATATCAGATAATATCAGTCCAAGTGTATGAGTGAAAGACAGGAGTGGTATTACTCAGGTCCTTTTAAGAGCTAAGGGGGAGGGGGGCAAACCACTGCATCAGTCCTTGAATTTCCTTCTAGAAAATGAGGCAGAAAGAAGCTGGAATTTTCCTGTGGGCTATTATGGGCTAACATTTCATCTCGTAAGTCCCTGGCACACCAGAGAAAAATAACAGGATCATAGTGTTAAAAGAATCTTCTGTATCATACACTTTCACTGACTTTATCCTTTATTTGTATTTCAAACTGTATTTAAAAGTTGGCATCTGAGCCAGGTTTTCTCTACAACTAATTTTCAAATCTCAATGTTCTGTGTGCTGTTTTGAAGGGCAAGTGCGCTAAGAATGTGAGTGTAGGGCTGGAGAGATGGCTCAGTGGTTAAGAGCACTGGCTTCTCTTTCAGAGGTCTTGAGTTCAATTCCCAGCAACGACATGGTGGCTCACAACCATCTTTGGTGGGATCTGATGCCCTCTACTGGTGTATCTGAAGACAGTGACAGTGTACTCATGTATATGAAATCAATAAATAAATCTTTAAAAAAAAGAAAAAAAGAATGTGCGTGTAGAAGGGAGCGCATATGCGCACATGCTGCTCCACAGGACAATCGGAGGGGGAGCAGAACATGAGCAGACAAGTTGGTCCGTGAAAAAGGGTTAAAAACTAGATCTTTTAACAAATGCTAAAGCAATACCTGGGTTCCACTGGAAACTTAAAATAGTGCCTTTGAGTGTACACACAGGCAGGAGGTTGGACAGTATTTAAACATTACATGTACTTTTGGGGGGACAAGGGACAACAAGCATGTGCCTATGGAAGTCAGGGGACAATTTGTAGAAGTCAGTTTTCCCACTCTGCTGTGTGGTCCCGAGGAGAGAATCGAGCGACAAGCTGAGCAGCCCCGACAAGGTTTTATACTTATTCTAACGACCCCATGCTAAAGGCAATCTAGATCTAATCCAGTCTTGTCACAGAACTTTTACAAGTAAGCTTCAGTAGTCTGTCTACCCTAGGAAAATGGGTTTGCTTTGTTTGGTTTTAGGGCTTTTGTGGGGTTTTGAGGTAGGGGTGGGGGATGACAGAGTCTCAATGTGTAGTCCTAGGTATTGGTTTGCTTTTACATACTATTTTCTTATTTTATAGCCTACATGGTATGTTACAGATTATCCTAGTATCAAATTAAAGACTACCATGGAATGTAAGGATCACGTGAAATATCCACTATTTGGCATCCAAATTTACAACAAAAGTTATCCATCTGTGGAATTTAAAGCACAGCTCTGCAGTCAAGGTCGCCTGGGTTGCTGACCTAGCTATTGTGTCAGAATAACCTACAGAGGGGTTAAACAGGGAACACATGGATGTCTATGTGTAAGTAAATCCTAAAAGATAGAAGAAAAATGAAACAAACCAAAACAACCCCAACAATCTATAATACAACCCCAGACTTTGAAGGAAAAAAAATTTCTTAAGTATACAGACACATACAAAAGTTAATGTCTGGTTAAATGTTGAACACAGGTCTGCTATAGAAACACATGGGAGACTAGAAGAGCCAGCATTATCTAACTGCCTGGTCATTGACATAGGCAGGGAGGAAGGAAGAAATTCGCAAATCCCAGAGGAGAAACACCAACATAAACAAAAATGTTGATGTTTTTATATAATGGGATAGCCTCTGGCACAGGAACATTCAATTTTTGTTTAAGCCCAATTCAGATTGCACAAAGAAGAAAAATGGGAGATTTTATGAACACAAGCTTTTGTTAAGAGCTGTAACAAAAGTTTCTGATCCTTGGATTTAAAAAGAAAAATTTAACATATAAGGAGTCTCTGAAATCAGTTCCGTTTGTAATACTGAAAATCCACTAAAATGCAAAAGGCTTTTCCACAAAGACTGCAATATGCTGCAGAGTAGAAGTTAACATGCAGTCAGTTATTTTGGTGTATGTGTGCATGAAAAAAAGGCAAAAGGACTGAAGCAAGAAGTGAGATCTGAGGATGACTGGTGCCATACAGGCTCTCAAGAAACACACACAGCCCACAGCAATGCTCTATGTTTCGGAGTAGTATGATGTAATTGCAATGACTTGTACATGCTTGATTTAAAACAACGCATAACACTGCAGTTCAATTCCCCATTTTTCACACACACGCTTTCTAGCTGCCTTGCTTACTAGCTGCTGAAGGGTCTCACACACAATGCATTTGCTCAGGTTTGCCCTAAGTTCCAGTGGTGACTTGAGTCTCAACAACAGAATCTCAAGGCATTGGCCCCACCCAGATTCATTTAAAATTTAACACTCCTTTACTTCCCCACCGCTTTCTAGCCATAATTTTACACCAGGAATAAGTTTTAACGTTCGTTTTGTTTATACTGGGACAGAGATAAGCCAATGAAGAAAGCAGCAACCAAATGGTGCCTAAATTTGGCATTCTTGGATGATGAGCCAACGATCAACTTGACAGCAAATTTCAGTAGTTTAAAGTGTACTAATTACTGATAGGGGTTAATATTGCCTTGTTATACACATAGATAACCCATGTTGTTTAACAACAGTTGCAGCAAGCTTGGCTCTCTCATGATTGAAAAGATTTTGGCTCTTCTTTAAAAATGGACTAGCACCATGAGAACTGGACACCTGGAGAAACATGAGGAAAGTCTCTTCGGAAGCAGCTAGTATCTCTTGTATCTACTTTCAGCAAAAAAAAATTAGTAAGAATCAAGAGATCAGAAACTGGATCACAGTCCTTCAATACCACAAAAAAACCCAGAAAACAAACAAACAAAAAACAGCCCCACAGAACTCCAAAGGCCTCTTAGGGCATGTACATACAGATATAAATTCAACAACTGTCAGGCAAGCTCACAAAATAAAAAAAGAAGATGTTTTAATTTATTTCAAATATTAAGAAAGTCCTAGTATGGTCCAGATACCCTGACAGGGAAAAGAAATTTCCTGATTGTTTGGAATTAATATTGAAACTCACCATGCTCAGTTTTAATAATACATTAAAGAGAGACTGTGAACCAACTACTGATTAGCCTCCTGCCCTTCCTAAAGCCTATTAGCCGATTAGTAGCAAACATCTACTAATGTCCTACAGCTCTATTATAGTTATGTTTCAAGGGACTTGCAGAGGCTTAGTGAAAATTTATTGGGGGGAAAAGCAGCAGCAGCAGTGTAGAAAAGGAAGGAAAAAAATCATGCAAATCCTTAGACTTAGTCCTCCAGACTTAAAGATGCAAAAGAATCAACTTTCACCTTTTCCTTTATTGCATCAACCTGCAAAGGAATTCAGAAGGTGCAGCTTAGAAAAAAAATCAAATTCCATATTGAGCATAAAAAGGTAGAATCAGCAACAAAGGTTCAGGGAGAAACATGTAACCACTAAAAAAGGGAGGAGCGAGTGGAGGTCAAGGGCGTACCGAAGCAAAACTTAGAACCCTGTGTAACTTCAGAGCTCACTGCACAAGAATTTATGCTAAGTCAGTGTGAGAGGAAGCAGCTTAATGGCTAGTAGAATGGACAGCATTCAGGTTAACAGCAGCCAGGTCTCAAAAGGTGGCACTATGCATAAGAAAAGAAGCTTCTCTCACCTGTGGCTAAGCTGTGGCAACTGTTCTAATCACACTGAACTTACATATACAATATTACTCCTTTAAAAACTGTAAGAACAACACAAGTATCCAGTTATGTGATCTTCTAAGGAAAACATCTCTCTGGGGGCGGGGTGTTAGTAGTGTTCCCTCCTTGTACTCAGGCATGCTGAAGAGACCAGAAGAGAGACTTCAAGCTTGATTTACTCTAACAAAATGGATCTTTTAAAATCACTTAAATTTCTATGCATAAAGCTAGTTACCTCTAGCAAGAACTATTCTCACATCAAAAAAGAGATGCAGAGATGAACAGTAAATTTTGGAAGGTGGCTGAATCCTTAGTTTATTTAAGGTGCATTTAGGAAACATGGTTAATTGCAAACTTCCTATAGTATTTTAAAGTTATGTACTTGATTATCAAAAATCTGTGATGACTAGGGAGCTGATAATACAATGCATGAGAAACAGGCAAAGACATGAAGTCAGGAACCCAATAAATCTGGAATACATGGAAATCTAAGTTGTAGCAATTAATTTTAAAATGTTATCTCAAAATATGTCAAATATTAAAAGAGTGCTATTTACTGTAAGAATACAGAATGTAAACACTGACAAAGCTTGAGCTCCCTTCCTAACCATGTGGTCTGTCTATCAGCTAGAGTAGGAATATTACATGGTCAAATCATTTATACTAGAGGAAAAACCTTGAAAAATAATATGCATGTACAATGTTATATATCCTCAAGATTATTACTTCTGAATACACTTCTGAGTATCATTACCTTGGTCAGATATTCCTTCATGACCTGGATGAAATAGGGCATGGCAAAATCCATGATATTATGTCTCCATGCAGTTTCCAGGACGACATCTGGCCTTAAAAGATCATAACAGGTAAAGAGACAAGCTCCAAAGCATTCTCTTTTTTCTTCCTGCAAAAACCACTGTAGGAGCTCTTCAGCCAATTCTGTGTCTTTAGATTCAGAGGCATACTGCATTGCATCCTATCCGGAGGAAACAATGAAGGGAGGTTAACCACATCTGCTGACTTAAATCATCACTGAAAGTTTGAAACAATAATAATGATGATGATAGTAATTATCATCATCATCACCACCATCATCATCACCATCATTATTATTATTCCACTGACTTATAAACCACTTTCACAAAAGGGAGTTACAGTGCCAACTCCCGTTGCTTGAAAAGCCCACCCGATGTTACCAACCTTGTAAAGGCTGTCTTTCTTGCACAGTTCCACACTCTGTTTCCAGCGATTGTTGCCTTTGAAGAGATAAGCAGCAATTCTTCTGAATTCAATGAGTTCATGTTTTTCCAAACGCTGAGCAAGTGAGATGTTGTCAAAGTTGTCATAAGCATCTATTGATGTTCGCAGAGCCTTAAGAGACAAAGCCATTCAGAAGTCAACTAGTGGCTTTCAGTTTAGCATTTATGTCCCACAGTTCATTCTGATGAAGGCAGTTAGATGGCATCATCAACTGTAACAACGCAGAGGACGAGAGCACCAAACTACAAGAGCTGTAACCTGTATTCAGCTATCAATCTGCTTTGATCTACTTCTAAAACAATAAATAAAATGCTGAAATGGACTGTGCAACTTTCTCAATTTTCTGAGATATCCAGTATCTAACTTAAATGGCTATGAAACTGGAATAATATGTAATGTAGACAAGCACTTATGCTGTTAGCAAACTATTCAGATTGTTCAGTCTTACAGACTAGACTTTGAGCCTAAAGGAAAATTATGTTGAGCTAGGTGTGCTGACACAGAGCTATACCTCAAGCTCTAAGGCTGTGAGGCAAGCCTGAGCTACTAGGCAAGTACCAGTCAGGTCAAGGAATAAAGGAAAAAATGCAATTAGATTAACCTAGACAGCCCCTACTTATGTGTTATCTTTCACAAGAGCAAATTTAAAAGACAAATATTAAGACATTAGGGAAGAAAAACAAAACAGTTAAGTCCACTTAACAGCAGTTAAGTTTATGGGCTAACTGAAAGATCAGTGTCTCTTGGATGTGCAATCAGGATGTAAGAGAGGAAGGAATCACATATTAAATTGTTTTATCAAAATACATATAAATATATCTAACCCAAAGAGTGGAACTTGTCATAAACTCATCCCAAAAACCTTGCTGAATTTAGGGCCTAAGCATCCACATGCCTGCTTGCTTAGAAATTAATTAAGGCTAATAGGAGCTTTTACCACAGAACATGTCAGCGTTAAACCTAATCAGAGCCTGATGTTAAGTATTTACAAGGATCCAAAGGTTTTACCTGGTAATCTTCTTCTGTAATAAAGAGGTTGTTCAGTGATTCATTCACAGATTTGTTGTTGTGGTTCTGAACTGAGCGTAAATATGGTTTCACCAGTGGTAGCTGTTTTACCTTTAAAATAAAGTTGATTAGAATGGTATCCATGGTTGACAACTGCTATCCAAGTACGTCAAAATCCTCACTGTAAAGTTCAGTTTACAACAGTTACCTTGCTGAAATAATTGACTGCACGAGTGTGATCCAACCGTGGAGACAGCACCATAAGCAAGTCATTTAACAACAAAGGCTTGAATTCTAAGTAGAACTGGATTGCTCTGTAGTACAGTTCCACATTAGCCACCTAAAAATAGAAACCCACACATTACATGTCAGTTTCTACCAAATGAGCCTTCTCTTTCCACAGCGCACCCTGCTGAGTGTACATACCTTGGTGATGATGTCTTTGAACTGCCCTTCCTTCCATGCATCAGTGGGGTGATTCATCATAGTGATGATGGCATTATCATATTCTTCATACTTGTCATACAGAAACACCAGCTCTGCCCAAAGATGAGCTTGTTCTGCAGCTCTCAGCACCTGTATGACAAAGACCAATTTCTTTAGATGTAAACCTGACTCCTGCTATCAGCCTAACAAGGAAAATGATATTTTAAATAATTAGAGCTGCCTCAGAGTAGCGAAGACTGGTTGGTTACCTTAGGAATATTCACTCTTGACCAGAACAACTCGAGATGTTCCCTCATTTTCTGTGGCTTGAATTTAGAATACAAAATAGCTAGCTCTGTGAACATTCCCATGTGAGCTCGCTCCAGTCCCAAGGCTGCCTCTAGCATGGTGATGAGTTCTTCAAAATATCCACGATCCTACATAAAGGAAATAAGCAATTAGAAGAGAGCATGCGTGTACAAAGGTTTCAGCTCACAGGAAGGTTTGGTGTCGTTACCTGATAGTAGTTGATAAGCTCCTCTAACTCATCTGCGTGCACCACAATATGGAGTCCACACATCTGAGCAAGGCGGAACTCTTTCCCGTCTACACAGGCAAAGCAGACCTAGAATAAACATTTTCCACTGTGAGAACCCAAATATAAACACAATTATTTCAACGTAACAGTATAAAAAGTACAAAACAGTACAGTAGAAAAAAATCAAACAAAATGTTAATTCATCATTCACACTTGGGTTTAGATTACCTCTTTCCATGTTCGAGTACTATTAGCCTTTCTAGCACCGTCAACTGCTGCCTGATACTCGCCAAGGTGAACAAGGGTAGATGCCAAGCGTCCAAAGTTAGAAACATTATTGTACAACAACTTAGCAGCATCATACATTTTTTCATCATAACAACGGTCACCAACCTAGAAGGAAAAGGCAATCCATGATCAGTAAAATACAGGTCTCAGCTCAAGCCTTTTTCCAAATTAAAATTTTACTACTAAAGAAGCGATAGGTATAGTTGCATATGCTGTAATCCAGCACCCAGAAGTTGAGAAGTTTAAGGACCCATCCTTCATGCCACTGAGGAATTCTATCTAAAGAATTACAAATAAAATAAATGAACACACATACACTCTATCTCATAAGAATAGTTTAATTTCATGCCCCTAAAATGTTGATTCTGCCAGGGTGATAAAGTTGCTCCATAATTGAAATTTCGTGTGGTAAAATGTGGAGCTAGGGAGTTAACTTAGTTGGAAAGTGCTTGCCTTGCAAACAACAGGACATGAGTTAATACTCATGACCCACATAAAATGTCAGGTATGGTGTGTGCTTGGAACCCTGGCACCAAGCTAGCTGCTGGCCAGTAGCTTAAACTACTTAGTGAGACCCATGCCAACAAGAGACCAAGAGACCCTGTCTTTTTTCCTAAGTTTTATTTCCTGAGGAATAAAAATAGAGCCTGTCCTCTGGCCTTCACATTCATTTCTATGCAAGCATCCCTCTATAAACAGACACACAGACACACAGACACACACAGACACACACACACACACACACACACACACACACACGAGAGTGGGAGGGGAGGGAGGAGGAGGAAATTTAAAGTGGAAACCCACTTGCTGAATATGAGCGTTATTTGGCCCATTGATGAACTCTTCTAATTCTGCAAGGCGGTTTGTTTTAGCCAGTGCAAATATCAATTCTGTCTCCACATAGGACTCTCGAGCCTTCTTGCGTGCCATCTGTAAATATTTCACCAATTCTTCCCAGTTTCCTAAATAAAGAGAAAAATAAGCCCATAAACTAGCACTCTTAGTTTATACTTCCAACCAAATATGTTAGATATGCTATTAGTTCCCCCTGCCAATTTTCTTTTGAGAGTGTCATGCTATGAATATAGCCTAGGCAGTCCATGAATTTAAGGTCTCCAGCCCCACTGGCAGGTGTACACCACCACACCAGCTTAACTCCTTTTTCAAAGAAACATTACTTAGGATGACAAATGTAACAGTGGATATACCTAAAAGTATAAAAATTCCACTACATGTCTATATTATTATTGTCCTGAAACTACTTGATACTCTCCCCACTTTAAAGTTATATGCCAGAGCTCTATCAGGATTTTATCAGACCTCAAAATAAAATTAACTTTTTCCATGGACTTTCTAAATTCATACAATTCAGTCAATCTTCAGCTGGATCAAGATGCTGGGCTGAAAGTTTTCACAAGTAACCAGGAGTGTCTAACCTCTATACAATTAAAAGTTAGACACCCAAGTGCTTAGCTTAGTAATTTTTTTGGAGGTCTCAAAGATATAAGGACAAGCAGTCTTACCACTAGTATTGGCAGCCTGGACAACTTCCATGTAAGATGAAGGATCATCTGCTTTGATATAAGAATCAATGGCTTCCTTCACCATTCCTTTCTGCAACTGAGCTTTTGCAAGTTGACTCCAAACTGCAGGCTCATTGCAGCGTTCAGCAAACTCATATGCACGATCCAGGTTTCCAATATGTTCAATCAATACCTGGGCAACATTTTTAAATTGGTATTACAGTAAAATGGATATTACCCAACATAATTACACTTAAACTGGTAGCATTTTATTCTTATCCTACTGTGATAGCAATCTGTGCACACTCTCACAAGACAATGTATTTTTTGCATCAAGAGAAGACATTACAGTCAGTATCTCAATGTATGTAATTTCAAGATTTACCTGAACTGCTGAAGTATTGACATCAAACTTCCGGAAAATAGCAAATGCTTCTTCAAACAGCTCATTGCTGATGGCAATGTTGGCAATATCTGGAGCATCATAATTATCCAGGCGGTTAATATACTCCATAACACGTGTTCGGTCGGCCTTAATTGCAGTGAGGATGAGGAGGTTTTGCAGATTCCTTAAGAAACCAAGACATTCAACCACAATGTTTAAAAGGTCATCAATGGTGAGGAAACACCACTGTGGCACTAGAGGGTTATTTGTCTCAAGGGACAGGGTGAGAAGAGACAGAGGATTAGGAGAATAATAATCCAGAAATGTTTTCTGTTCCTTCCTGAAATTGACAGGCCACAATGAAAGACTAAGAAAGCCAATCCAGGCTGGGCGGTGGTGGCGCACGCCTCTAATCCCAGCACTTGGGAGGCAGAGGCAGGCCGATTTCTGAGTTCGAGGCCAGCCTGGTCTACAGAGTGAGTTCCAGGACGGCCCGGGCTATACAGAGAAACCCTGTCTCGAAAAACCAAAAAAAAAAAAAAAAAAGCCAATCCAATCCTCTGCTAGCATACCTGTGTTCACTGAATACAGAGTTATCAAGGACAATCTTCTCCAGCAGCTCAATGAGTTCATTAGGAAGATCTGCTGTCATAAAAGCCTTGACAGTTACTGATACTTCTTCTGGGTCCTGAGTTTCAGACAAGGCTGTCTGCACAACCTATAAAAGATATAAATGGAATAGTTAAAAAAAAAAAAAAAGAAATCAAGGTATTTTTAAGAATAAGTTACTTAACTTCTCATTAGAAAACCTAAAACCTTCTACTCAAAGATCTTTGTATACACATATACATGAACCCACATCGTTTTATAATTATGATGTTACCATTGGCAATTCTGTAATTTTCACTTTCCTGATAAAACACTATCCATAATAACGTATCACTATTATTTTAATGGATCGTTATTTTCAAATCCCTGGACACAGATTAGAAAATGAAGAATCCTTTTGTTTCCTTTCCTATGCCCAGAAGCCATTTGACTGCAGGAAGCTTTGTATCTACTTTGGAATATGCCTTGGAGATGCTTTCTAGAGGAAGTAACTCAGAACTAGTCATCTATTCTTCAAAATGCTGTATCTTTTTGTCTATCAGAAGAATTTAGGAATCATAATAACAAGCAATAATTAGCACTGTAAATTCAGGATTTCCATTTCATATAGGTATAAAAATCTCAACTGCAGTGCTGTGTTATTTAGTTAGACTTACTATTGCTGGTTTGGGTATCATGTGTGCGATTCCTCTGTGTGTGTGCATGAATGTGTACAGGTATATGTATCAGATGGTGACACCAGGTGCCTTGCCCAGTCACTTTCCACTTTACTTTTGAGACAAGTCTCTCCTTAAAGCTGGAGCTCATCCATTTGGCTGGACTAGCTGACCAGCATGCTCTAGAGATCTCTCTCTGTCTACTCAGCACTGGAGTTACATACGTGGGCTTTTATAAGATGCTAGGGACCGGAACTTGGGTCACACTTGGCAACAATCTCCATGATACTTATCTGGACTTTTAGAAAAGAATTGGAGATAGAATCGTGCTACATTCATAGGACAAGATGAACTCAAACTCTCTTCTCTCAAACTCCTGAGTACTAGTGACTTCAAGCATAAGCTGTCATACCCCAAAATTACTTGAAATTTTGGTTTTTGTATTATCAATCCTCATTGTGTGATGTACTGTTTTAAATATCTTGATTTTCGTCATGTTTCTGCTAACAATTTGCAGCCAATCCTAATTTATTCCCTTTCTTTAATGGTGATGAACTTAATTTTATGTTTTTAGATTTTTCTTTCCTTATAATATTTTACATACACACACAATTTTATATTTATAGAGTACAATTTTAATGTTTTTTTTCACTTTTTATGCCTTCTGTTATAGTTAAATATGACCCATTTGAATATATTTGGATATGTAATGAGAGGAAAGTATTCCAAGACAGAAAGTAGGTAAACATTTTTGTCATTTTTACCTGGTCAATTAATGGTCTTCTGTATGGATTGCTTTCCAGTAGCACACTACCCCACAATTCTGGGTCCTTTCGACGGACCAGGTAGCGAGAAAGACTTTTGAAGAGGGAATTCTCATTGCAAACCTAATTAAAATAGCAAGGGTTAATTTCAGGGCAAATAGTAAAATCTACAGGTAATGAGTTTGAAAGTTATTTGCAATCATATCAACTTTTTTTTTAAGAATCTATTACTTCTGTATAAAATCTTGGAAATATCACAGTCAAATATTCTCATTGAAACTCAACTGATTTTCTTTTCTTCCTAAAAAGAAATTTTAGGAGCTTTTAAAAAGCCTCCCAGTATTATATCTATTGTTTGTTTGTTTGTTTAAGATAGCAGTCTCACATACCTGAGCTCCAAACACCTATACCCGCCTCTACTTCTCACGTATTAGAACTACAGACACACTAGCACATTTATTTTTGATGTTCAAGTGTTTTATTAGCTACTGCACACTTACTTTTTCATATACCTGCATATAAATATGCACAATCTTTGAAAGTACGTACATACATAGGTAAGTTTCTAAGATCTGACCACTGAACAATTCTGGAAGCAATTCTTCAGGGTAGAACTTGGTTACTAATGGCATCTTTCATTAAAAATGGTGAGGGTTGCCTGGGAAAATGAGCAACTCTAAGCTGGGAAAGTTGCACAATGAGCCTTGAAGTATGTCAAGAACTAGGCAACAGTGTGCCAATCAGAGTTCAGTAATGGGTTGTAATTCAAAGAGTTTAACAGGAATCTATGAATCCAAGAATACTGACTAATAAATATGACAGAGTTTGTTCTCAGTGCTGGTGATTGTAATCAGAGCGTTGCTCATGCCGGCCTGGTATCTCACTCCTGAGCTCTAACCCATAACTGATGAACAGGAGGAAGGGCTCAAGTAGTTATCACCCTAGTAAGAGTGTCTTATGTTACAAAGGCTAAGCAGGGACAAGGAGAAAGGATGTGTGTATGCGTGCGCTCATCTATTTATCAAAGGACTCCTGAATGGAGAGAAAATGAGCTTCTGAATCCAACAGCACAGGGCAAACATCACTCAGCAGTACTGCGAGTACAAATGGGTGATCTAAATATCTAATTACAGAGAACTGTTTTTCTTGTGGCCAGGCACGTGGCTCGCTGATGCGTGCTCTCCCAGCACATGCAGTCAGGAAGAAACGGAGACCATACATTTACATGAATGAGCAGAGTTTGGTCCATGAGACCCATATCCACTGAGGAGACAATGGATACCCACGAGTTGTCCTCTGACTTCTACATAATTGTGCACAAGTAGTAAGTATTTTAATTAAAAAAAAAAAAAAGAACCAGAACGGGGAAATGCATAGGGATCGGATTGGCCATTGTGAGGTTCTATGGGAAGGGAGTGGAGTGTACAGAGAAGATTTACTGAAAAGAAAACTCCTGAGTGCTGAGAGCCTGGAAAGTGGGTTAAGAGCGGTGATTTTGTAACACTGAACTCACTGGAAGCCACGTAGATGTCCACTTGACAATTCAAAATTTGCTTATGCACTTATTTCACCATAAAAAAAAAAACGAACAAAATACAAATACAAAATAAAAAATGAGTTTTAGCAAAGGTATCTATCATTTAAAAACAAACAAAAACAAATTTCCAACTAATTTAGACTAAAGGGGCTAAACAGTAGACACAATTGTGATCCTAAACTACAGAAAACCTGACAACACTGAAAACAAACTTTTCAAAGTACCTTGTTAATGTCTGACTGTTGCTAGTACCTATATAAAGATACTTCTTCATTCTTAGAAAGTAGAACCCAAATGGATGCAAATCCATGAGGTATGTAACATAGTTAAAATACTTATGTTAAGGTATGTGTGACAGTGTACAAGAACACTAGCAAAGCTAATACATGCCAAATTAGGAGAGACTGTATACAGACTTAGGTTAACTACTATTTCCAAATAAAGTTATAAAAAAGCACCCATTTGCCCAAAACTGTTCTGCATTAACTAAAAATCATATAGAAACTCAAAATTTGCTAATTGGAAATACATCTAGTTAAAGAAATACAGATAGCTCTGTACACACTCACTCAGCAAGCAGTACTTACATTGATGAGTTCAAGATCACACTGGCCACGTTCATAAGCAACACAAGCCAGATGTGGGTCTCTCTTCTCACAGTACTTTCCAACAACACGACTGTCATAATAGGGGTTTTCACGAAGAAATCTCTCTGGGTTGTTATTACTATCAATGTATATTTTGGCTAATGCATTGTGAGTAGCAGGCTCCTCGCAGCCCTCATGAATTCTAGCCTCAAGCCAAGGAAGCAGCAGCTTCAATCTAGTAAAAACAACAGAACCCAGACATCCTGTGTTAAAAACAGCACACTTGTCTTATAACTATACAAATATAGTAGTCACATTTCAAGAAAACAAAAACAAAACCAAAAACCTTTCAACTCTAAAAACAAGTGTATCACCCTTCTGTCATCTGCCTCTATGAATTTACCCCATGTGTTGAGTAACCACACTCAAGTCAGACAGCTGTATTTCAACTCATCCACACTACCTGAAGCTACAAACTTATGTGTTATAGTGGAGAGAAAAGTAAACAGTGCTATACCTGTTTCTTTTTTCAACTTCAGCAACAAGCTCATCAGTAGAGAATTGACCTCTCACAACAAGAATCAAATTTTTAATGACATCTTCAGAGCAGTCAACATCCAGCAATCCTCCAATAACCACAGGAAGTCGACTTGGATTTACCTATGTTTGAAAAAAAGAAAATAAAAGAACACCATTATATTAACAAGCAAAACTGAGTCAAAAATATAAAGATCATTTCTTTTTAAAACCCTGTTTTTAAATATTAATAATAAACTACGAATCTAAAATTATGGTCAGATGAAGGAAAAGTCTAGCTAGAAAGACCTCGCAGCCTAATAAGCAGGGGGGCACTCACGCTATAAGCAGGGGGGCACTCACACTATAGTATTCCATATTGCTTTGGTTAGTTAGTTCTACCTAAGGATTGCTCCAAATGCTGAAGTACAAAAATAACAGCAAAGATGACTATGGAATATTACTAAGCACGAAAGCCTCACTAGAATATCTATCTTAGAATTGGTAAGTTTCTAATATCTAACTTAAGCCATGTGTTCTGGGCTCTGGTTCCTAGACTTTTCAAGCCTTCAGACTACAGCATCTCTGCACTTGGTATTCTGACATGGATGTAAAATTGTAATCTAAGAAAAGACTGAGCTGGGCAAACACAGAAAGCTGCTCCAGCATACCATTTTTACCAGGCACAAAATTTTGAGAAGAATTCAAAATACTGTAGTGATAATGTTTAAATGATCTAAGCACCGAAGTCCTTACCTTCTGGACATAGATCTCTATATACTTCTGGAGGTTGTTTCTATATAAATACAGCACCAGGTCATGGACAAAGTCAAACCGGTCACAGACGATGATAAGTGGCAACTGATCTGTTAGTTTTGCCTCCTAAAAAGGGGGAAAAAAATAAAAAAGAAACTTCAATTTTCTCACTGCATGAATTAAAATATGAGAGTCCTTTCTGTGCTGGTGGGAGAGGCTTACATAAACGTAGCTCTTCTGTTACAAGAGACAAATAAACCAAAGGCTGAGTGTACATCTCCCCATTTCAATACATTTTTACTAAGTACAGCTTAGATTCACACATAAAACATCAAGCCCTTCCCATGCACATCCTTAATAAAGAAATTAACAAATTAAGATTTGTGAGCCACCAGCAGCAGTACACAGGTTTTAAAAATCACTACATGGGGACTTTCACTACTAAAAGACATTTCAGTGAACTTGGCAGTTGATTTAGTAACATTCTCACATCAGTGGCACAAATGCTCGCATTTGTTTCAAACTACTGATGTATTTTCCAGCCCTCCCCAATACCAAGCTCTAATAACACCAAAACAGCCAGCCTCTAACAATCTATTATAATTAAATCTACAAAGAACACTTTGATAATGGCCATAAATTAAACACACCAAAGAATTTAAAGAAAAGACATCTTTAAATTGCCCATTGCTTTACCATTACAAAGACAAAGAAGCTACAGTCCTACTTATAGACTGACAGATGTTATAGACAGGCAGGTAAGGGTAAGACCTGTGTGGGGCAATTACCTGATACATGTCCTGTTATATTCCACAGACATAAGGTACAGCACAAAAAACAACAGTTTCCATCAGGAATTCATTTATATACAGTGACACGTTCCTTAATAAATGATTCCTCTTAGAGTTGCCTAAGGAAATACATACTAAGCAGAATAGACTTTCCCCAGTGGTAGCTACTCCTTTTAAAGCTAATGCCCTGGAGGGTGGGGGGTGTCTGGGCTTTTCTCCCCAACTCTAGGACCGAAAATTAGGCTATAAAAGGAATCCGCCACTGAGTAACATCAGACAATAAAATGGTTCTTAAGACTAGGCTCTAGCCGGGCAGTGGTGGCGCACGCCTTTAATGCCAGCACTTAGGAGGCAGAGACAGGTGGATTTCTGAGTTCGAGGCCAGCCTGGTCTACAGAGTGAGTTCCAGGATAGCCAGGGCTACACAGAGAAACCCTGTCTCAAAAAACCAAAAAAACAAAAACAAAAACAAACAAACAAACAAAAAAAAGACTAGGCTCTAGCCACCCAATTATAAATCATATGAAAACCTTTCCATGAAAGGTTCAGAAAATATCAAGAAAACTTTGTGAGCTATGATAAATTTAAAAAAAAAAATGAAAATGGCTAAAAATGTGAAGTCAAAGTCCAACTGCAGGCTGTTCACACTAAGGAAAGTCAAAGCATGTGAAGAGTTATTTCAGAAATGGAAAACACTGTACTAATGGCTGCTACACTTATTTCTAGAAAGGATGCTGCTTCTATAAACGTAAAGTTTCCAGGCCAATTTTCCATCATAAATAAACATTTAAAAAACTCATTGTTGCCGGGCAGTGGTGGTGCATGCCTTTAATCCCAGTACTTGGGAGGCAGAGGCAGGTGGATTTCTGAGTTCAAGGCCAACCTTGTCTACAGAGTGAGTTCCAGGACAGCCAGGGCTACACAGAGAAACCCTGTCTCGGGAAAACAAAACAAAACAAAACAAAACAAAACTCAGGGGATCACATTAGTCTTCACTGCACTTAAAACGCAAGTTTCAACAACCAGGGGAAAAACTAATGCTAAATATTTTTAATTATGTATATGGTGATGTGCACATGAATACAAGAGCCCACAAGGGCCAGAAGCATTGGATTCACCTGAAATTGCAGGTCCTTTGTGAACAAGTCAACACACAGGGGCTGGGAAGAGCATCAAGTGCTGCTAACTGATGAGCCATCTCTTGAACCTCATGCTATCTATACATTTTAAACCATTTACTAAGCTATTAGACCATTATTGTTAGCAACTGTTTTTTGACAAAATTTGGAATTGTGTAAATATATGTACAATTTTTCTACAACACAAATTTAACAACTATTGTAAGCAATCCTGTGTATCATGCAAACTGCCTCAGATGGGGAAAAGGCGAGGTTTCCTTTATAGCATAGTATTACAGTAGAAGTGAAGCAAAGCTATCAAGGAGGAACTAGCTACAGACATCCTACTGTTTGTTTGCCTATGTATGTGGAGGGCAGAGGACTGGAGGTGTTAATGCCTCAGGAACACTGTTCCCCTTCTTTTAAGACAGTCTTTTCACTGGCTTGGAACACACCAAGGGATCCACCTCCGCCAGGGTTACAAACATGAGTTACCACATGTACCATTCTCTCCTGGGTTCTGGAATCTAGCCCAAGCTTACAAGGCAAGCAACTTTACTGACTGAGCTAGTTCACTAACCCTAGCAGTTTCTATTTTAGGTCGAGTAACTTGAGACATGACATTTGATCAGAAACCTAAAGGTCAAGGAACAAGCCATATGAAGGTCTTAGAGGAAAAAACAAACAAACAAAAACCACAAAAGGTCTAACGCAGACACAAAGCTTTCAAGAGCCAAGGGCCAGCAACATTGAGTCATCCAGGGAGATTGAGGCAATTCCAAGAGACAAAGCATGGCATAAAGAAAAAGGGAGCAAGGTGTAGACAGTGGGTCTGAAATACTTTCACAGTAAAAAGAGCTACAGAGAAACACTCTTGGTGTGTTAGTCAAATAATGCTAACAACATTGTTTGGACTTCTTTGTAGGTACTTTAACCTTTCTGTAGGTTCTAAGAGAAACTTAGGCAGGCTAGTACGGGGCTACTGAATAACATTCTCATCCCTCAGAGTAGTTGGTTTTTGTTTGTTTTTCTCCAGACATTATCTCAGTATGTTGCTCATGCTAGCTTTGGACTCATAATCTTCCTGCATTAGGTTTCTGAGGGCTGGGATTACAGGTAAGGAAGTACCTCTAACCCTGGTCCACACAGGCTATTGTTTATATTGTGCCATATTGTATTATATTATACTGTTCTATTTATTCATTAAAATCAATTTTTTGAGACAGGCCATATATACACCAGGTTGGCCTCAAACTCCAGGTCCCTCTGACTCAGTCTATCAAGTGTGGGTACCGGGATTCATTATGTGTTCAAATATCTAACTTAAATGTTAGAGAATTAAAGAAATGCTTCTTTAATCTTAAGAATGTCATACTCAAGTCTTAGTAGTTAAGTTTACTTCTGCTTTAACATAAAAAATAACTCAAACATCTCCTAAGGCTAAAGAAATTTAAAGAAAAGAGTTCAATTACAAAAAAGAAATTCAACTAAGAAGCCAGTAATATTAAAAAAACAAAAAGCCTCATAGCCCACGATGATCGGAGGCAGTGAGCTTTGTCCTGTGGCGTGGCGTGGCGACATCAGCAGCACAACCAACAATCCCTTACATTCGGCACGTTCTTGGGCACCCTAGAAAGTTTAACATTATCATGCTTGGTAGGCTCCCCAGAGAAGTCATGTGGCCAAGATGTGACTTAGAAAGTTATATCCACTGGGGGAAAGTTTATCTTTCATTCGACAATGTAAGACAATTTCAGCTATTAATGTAAGACAATGTAAGACTATTTTGTTACATAAAAGACTTTGTGAGTTTGGCTATGTAACACAGAGCCCAGATAAAATCAAATGACTACTAGCCGAGAGAACGAGCTATAATCAACTACCTCCAAGTGATAACAGGTAGAGAGGCAGGACATGCAAATTCCATGTAATGATGGTTTTGTGCTCAATATAGAGTTCTTCCAGAAAACAAAAGTAAAATAACTTCATTTGTGTGACAGTGGACAAGTGGTTCTCTGTGGGTTTTAGAATTTTTCTAGTCTTTCATAGATAGATAGCTACAAATGTTTGTTTTCTCCATAAAATAACTGGTATGAGAATTGTGCTAACAAGCAAAGTTAAACAAATGAATAGCCCTTACTACTCTCTAACTTAGCATTCTTTAAGACACTACTCTTCACTCCCGCACAGTAAGCCTTTACTCTCTCCAACAGAATTTATGTGTCACAAAGGCAATTTATCGTGATCCCACTGGATTTATAAATTATACACGATTAGCATTTCATTTCTGGATTCACACAGATTTGATGCTAAAAGTAAACCTAGATATTTTCTTAGCCTACAATAAAGTATCCTGAAAATAATACCAAAGATAAACTGAAAAATAAAAACATCTAAGGCAGAGGCTGGCAGACGGATCAGTAGGTAAAGATGCTTGTATGGAGACTAACATTCTGAGTTCTAGACCCAGTAACCACATGGTGCAAAGGCAGAACTGACGCCCAAGAGTTGACCTCTGACCTCCATGCACTTGTATGGAGACTAACATTCTGAGTTCTAGACCCAGTAACCACATGGTGCAAAGGCAGGACTGACTCCCAAGAGTTGACCTCTGACCTCCATGCACTTGCCTGGGCACAAGAACATCATCACAAAGATCAACACAAAATGAAAACATAAAATAAATGTTTTTAAAAAATGAACAGTAAAGTATAAGAAACCTAAGTCAAGAATGATGCCTTCTGGAGGATGCAGGGATTATTACACACCCAAGGCCAGTCTAAACACTGCAAAGTGAGACTATCTTTAAAAAAAGAAAAAAAAAAAAAAAGGAAAGATGACTCAAAGAGTAAGGGTGTTTGGGCCAGTTGTGATGATCTGAGTTTGATCCCTGGGCCTCACATGATGGAAGGAGAGAACTATCTCTTATGCACATTCTTCTCCAGAGATAAAAAAAATTTTCAAGGCAGTAAAAAAAAAAACCAAAATCAAAAAGTGTACCTTAAAAAAAAATAAAGGAAGCAAAGCAAAAAAATAAAGTAAGGACTAGAGGTCAGGGTGATAACCTTATCCACCTCTTGTTGTACATATTAATAATGTACAAATTACAGGTATGTGTCACCACCTGGGTAAAGAGCTAAATATTCTAAAATGTGATTAGGAACAACTTTAAACTGTGGTTTTCTTAAACCAGCTAATACTGGCACACATCTTTATTCCCAGCACTCAGAGGAGGCTGGGGCAGGCAGATCTCCAGCCTGGTCTACATATTGAGTTCTAAAACAGGCAGGGCTACAGAGTGAGAACCTGTCACAAAAAAAAAAAGGGAAAAAAAAAAGTTATCTTTCAAAAATTAAAAAAAAAAAAAAAAAGGAAGTTCTTTGAAAATGAAACTGTTTTTCCTTCTTTTTAAACAGATGGTTGTTCTTAGGTACTACTTACTAATTTCCTTCCTTATTTCTTGAGAAACCACAGAGTATTAAATTTAGAAAAAATAACCCAGCACAGAATTTGAGAATGCTAAGATTTTCTTTTTCCTTTTTTTTTTTAAGATTTATTTATTATATATGAATACACTGTAGCTGTCTTCAGACACACCAGAAGAGGGCATCAGATCTCATTACAGATGGTTGTGAGCCACCATGTGGTTGCTGGGATTTGAACTCAGGACCTCTGGAAGTGCAGTCAGTGCTCTTAACCACTGAGCCATCTCTCCAGCCCCAAGAATGCTAAGATTTTCAAATGTAAGAAAAATATTTTCAAGCATTACTGAACCCTTGTAGAACTGCTGACCTTCAATCAATCCAGAAGCATGTGGCTTACATACATTTACTTACCTTGAGAAAATTCTTGACTCGCTCGGGATCATAGCAGTTGCTTTCTCTACAGATTCTTTCCACTTCTTTGATTTGCCCAGTCTTGCAAGCCGCCTGAATATATTTAAAGTGCACATCTGGGTCCTGACTAAAGTTAACAATGGACCCCAGAAAATAAAAGAGACCTTAAAGAAACAAAAGTAACTGAAATTAAGGAACATAGGCATGTTTTCTTGTTTGTTTGCTTGTTTTGAGACAAGGTCTCACTATGTAACCATGGTCTCTTTATGGAGTGATTCTTGGTTGTCCTGGATTCTGCTGTGTAAGCCAGACTGGCCACAAACTCAGAGATCCTCCTGCCTCTGACTCTGAAGTGCTGAGATTAAAAGCATGTGCCATCAAGCCTGACTATACTTTTGAGAATGGCAGAACTAAAACTTAAGTCACGATTACAGGAAATGTTCCTAATAAGTTGGCTACTTTAAAAGTTCAGTAAGAATATAAATTAATTCAAAATCTACTTGAATAAGAGATATAAATTTCAGTCCCTAATGAACAGAAAATTTTGTTTAAAAGCATCTTCTCGTGTTTTAGTTTTTTGAGAGGATTTGTTATATAGTTCAGACTATCCTTGAATCTACCCACCAGCCTCATTTTTCTGAGTGCTAAAATACAGCAAAGTGGACACTATGCCTGGCTCTAAAGTTTTCAAAAAGTAAGAGACAGCACCTCAATAGCAAAGCAAATTTTTATACATTCCATATGAGAGACTTTAAATGAAGTATCACATATCTGATGTCTTCCCACAAAAGTAAGACACGTAAAGGCAGTTTCAAAAGAATTCAGTGTAGTGCTATCCATAAGAACTTTCTGTAGTGATACCTTGTATTATCTGCCTCAGCCACTAACCTCCTATGGCTCACCTCAAGTGTAGCTAGACTAACTCTAGAAACTTTCAATTATATTTTAATTGAATTTTAAATATCTACATGTGGCCAGTAGCTACATTCTGTTAGCAAACAAAATCAAAAGAAACTTACGATTGGCATATCCTATCCCTTCTATCTAGAGCACTAACACTACAGAGAGAGAGAGAGAGAGAGAGAGAGAGAGAGAGAGAGAGAGAGAGA